CACCAGTGGGCTTCTCCAGGGATTACTGCGCAATTCGTTAAAAGACCCACAATATAAAGTGAACGAGTGCCAATGTAGTGCTCTCCTACACTTCGGGAGATATCACGGGTAAAACTGGGAGGGATCGCCTGCGAATTGCGCCAATGCGGGTCGCGTGATGCGCGCGGTGCACCACGCCGTCACATGGAAAAGGATCAATTGGTTGATTTATTCAACCACTTTTTTCACGTTCTCGTGACAAGGTTATATTTTTGGGGCCGGTTAGTCACAAATAAAGTACCCTAAATTATTGCTGGATTATGGATACCTAAAGTACAGCGGTTCACAGTGGGTTAGCAAAAGGTTTCATATTAAGTTTCAATAAAAATGACTATTATCGTTATAATTAAGCAAGTGCGTAAGCATTTTTATAATTTAATTTAATTAATTTAATTTATTTCATTTTATTTTAATTTTTTATAATTTTTATTTTATAATTAAGCAGTCAAAATTTGATAATATATGAACTATAAAAAATGTGTGTTATAAATAAGAGGTATCAGTGGAAGGTGATGTGATAATTAGTATAATTTTTAATTTTCGTACATAAATAAATAAACAAATTTGAGGTCGGGCGGATTCGGTAAAATTCTCGGCATAGGCGGAAGACGTCATCATCACTCAAGTCCTAGGTTATTTCCCGAGCTATTTTACGGTGTTTTGTGTGTTTAATCCCATGTCCACCACGTATTGGAGAGGCTACTAACACAATTCACAGCGCTTTATCAAGGCTTAATAGATTTAACTACTAGAGAAGAGCTAACCTTTTGTAATTTCAGAATATTATTTTCACATTTTCAGATTCACATCGCATGGAATCGGCTCACGATCTCGTTCGAATACGTTCAAGAATATGATTGTCGGAGCAGCCGCCGGTTACCTAACCTACCAGGCTGGCAGAGCCATCATCCGATCAATGGCTGGACCAATGATGTAAGTTAGCATGAGCATAAAGGTCTTTATTACAAACGATTAGCAAGTAAAACAGCCGTGGTTGGGATCATAGATGGGGAGATACGCCTATTATGGGCGGAGCACCCATGCTCTGACCACAGCTAGTGCCAAAAAATCGGAAACTAGGGAGTTCGCAGAGTACGTTTAGGACATATAGGAAATAGGCATGATTGAAGTGTGGAGGGACCGCCCATTATGGGCGGAGCCTCAGCCATTATTTCCATTTTTGACTGCGGACTCAAAATAGAACATTACCCTTGAAAAAAAAACCACCTGGGAACAACTCCCCATTTTCATTACTTGGAAGAAGCGCTGCCACATAGCTTGCCACCCTAACCCTTCTATTTCAGGTGGAATAATCGACCGTACTACTGGGGATCGAATTACTATCGACCGCAACGAGGACAGGAGAACGTCTGCCGAATGCCTATCGATCCTTCTGATCCACAATTTGGAAACATCTACCAACCGGTGAGTGATGGCTATTACTGTTGTCCTCATAAGTTGCGCATAAATAAATGAAATCGTAATCCCAGCGCCCTTCCGGATGGTTCTGTTATTTCTCGGTTTCTTCCACAATCCGACCTCTTTGCAAATCGCAATCGTTCCGATGATCAAGAATGCATAATGCGCCCCAATTTCTTTTCTAGTATGGTCTGACTTAAAGGCATATTCCACGACCAAATGTGATTGTGATTTCGATAGAATGGAAGCTCGATGAGCGAAATGCAGAGCGAATGAGGAAAAAGAAACGAATTGTGGTGAACGCTGTGTCACGCGGTTTATCAAATTTTTTCTGTTGTGGCTGTGCTAGAGCGACGAGACACTGAGCACACGGAGGAGGGAATAGGCGAGAGAGCACAGCGAATGAGAGGGCATAAGACACCCACATGTTGCGAAGTGGGGAAAACGGAAGCGTTTGAAGCGGCCTCGGAGAGCCGTACCGCCGTAGCCTTATCGCGCAGTTTTAAGCCGGCTGAGCGGGATACCTGCGACTACAGTGGAAACTCTACTCTACCCACTGAAAAATTAACCACCTGAACCATCGTGGGCTGTGCCTTTAATTCTCGATTATTTTACAACTGCGATTTCCAGGACGGCGTAACTCGTCCACATGAGATCGTGTGGGGATGTGGTTACTACGAGTACTGCTGCGGCTATGAGTGCTGTCGCGGTGGTGGAGCGTCGACGATCGGCGGCTACAGTGCCTCTGTGGGGTACGCGTTCGCGATCATCTACATCGCTCGAGCTTATCTAGTCTAACGTACTGTTAGGCTTAGCAGTACCTCGACTGTTTCTCACCAGAGTTTGCCGTGTATACCAATCTCGCCGGCTACTCAACCAAATCTCAAAACGAGTAAATCGGTGTACTTAATATTGATGTAGCCTGAACTTTTCTTTGGCCAATTTTGTTATTTTCTTACATTCAGCTGTGTCTAACATGTTTTATTTTTTGTTTATGTTTATTTTTCTTTCACATATGATGATACACTCGAGGTATCGTGGTAGATTTGTTCTCAGTGCATGGGTTTTCTAACCTTCATAGCCACCAAATATGTAGTGTGTACGGCTCCGCTTCGAAGTGGTCGTTTTCACCCGCCACGCTTCAACGTGGGCGGAGTTTGCCAAAATGGGCGTGGCTGGATGCATGTTTCATAGCCCCTCCACCAAGTTGAATGAAATTCGTATCATGTGCGCGTAGCTGGAACATTCGTAACTGAAATATTCGTAAGAACAAGCGCTGCGAAATCGCCCGAAGAGGGCGGGGTTTTGGCACTCCGACCGTCCGTGGTGGGCGGGACTTGCGCACGGCCGTCATCCACGATTGGGCGGTCATCCTCATGACTTGCTGAACCCGGCGTAAATGACAAATAATTAGTTCCCTTTGAAAGCCAGGTTCGGCGTTAAGAGTTCCCGATCCAGGCGAGTTTACGCTAGGACCTTTTGGGCCAAAAAGGACTGCCAGCTGCGGCGTGGTTGTTGCCGACAACTCAGGGCGGTGAAAACGATCGCGAGCCTCGAGTGCCTTTTGTGAGCATTTCTGTGCACTCTCTTGTTGCTCAACATTTCCTCATTCATAAGTTCAACTGATTATCGACTCCTCAGTTTCTTTATCATTTTTTATCAGCTTATGTGTGCGGCATGATGTTTTAACCCCGATTTTGCCATACTTTACTGTGTACAGTATTGTGCTTATGGTGTTTTGTATTTCAGATATTGAAGGTGATATCACCCCCGGTGTTTCATGATCACGAACACATTGTGTAAACTTCATGATGTTATCAATCAGTCAATATCAATCAATATTTTATAAATGTATATGAAAAAGGCATCATTTGTTTACTGTGCGTACGGGTTTGGAGGAAACAACTGGATGGCCGCAAGTGACTCAGCAAAGGAGATTACAGCGCTTGTATTCACGGTCTAGGGGTGTTGATCGATTTTACGACTACGAGGCAACATGCGAACAATGGAATAGCTATGCGTCTAGCGAGTTTAATTTGTGGCTTTCGCTTATACCGTTTTTGCCATTATCACTTTGTAAAGCGTGGGTTATGTATGGGATATAGCATATCAGTTCATCCTACTTACTATGAAGCGTTTCGTCTTTCGTTCCGTCCGTTGGCCTGTATGTCTGTCACGAAAAATTCCTACTTCCTAAATAAGAGTAAACCTGGTGGGTGTGGCATGCTGCATGACGGGCGGAGCCAAAACCCAAACGCCACAAAATGGTCCAAGAATAGCGGAAAGACCCACGGAGAAAAGGATAGAATCTAGCTTAAAAGGCGGAATCGTAATTTGTGAAGACCATTGGTATCCTTTAAATGCTGGACAATAGTATTCGCATATGAACAAGGTTTGAAATTTTTTATTAATTAAAATATTAACTTGGGATAGTAGTTGTGAAATTGATGAGATCGAAGAGTAATTGGTTCGAATGCGCCGTGCATTCGTACCAAATCAGGATTGTTGACGTTTGTGAATGTCTGATGAAAGCCAGCCTGTAGATGGAATTGCGCTTGATATGTTTTCTGTCTACAGTATAAGTCCGAAACAGATCAAGATCAAAGAATTCAAAGCAGTTTATGGAAAAATTTGTTGTCGTGGGCAGAATCCGATTCGACATACTGTAGGTCTGATACTGCGCCTGCACCCACTAGGCTGATCACCAGCTTCTTCTCACCTCCCTCTCGCTGTATGGCTTCCACTAAATGGCAATTCCGCTACTATCTACTTTTTTCCTTAGCGTAGTCCGCGAGACAGGTCCGCTGTCCTTTTAGTCGTGGGCGCATTTGTCCTGTCCAGCGCATCTTCTGCTGTGGCTATGACTCCCAGGTCCATGGGTTTCTGCGCGCAGATTCTCGCGCCACTTCCGGGTGACGTCCTAGCTTTATCACTGATTCCTTTGACAACTTTAGACATGTTGGTGTGACTGGGGTATTCATCAGCCGGCCTGTCAACCTGGGCCTGACGCTGGTACTAGAACCATTTTTGCAATTTTTGCAAGGCATGGTTTAGAGCCTCGGCAGGGATCGAACTCGCGGTTTTTCAGAGGTGCAGACATGAGTCTAACCTCTTAACCACTCGGCTATCCCTGCCTCTCACAAGATATAGGCGAAGCGGCTTTTCTGTGAAAATTGATGTTTTGAACTCTTCTATGGGACCTACATAGTACTGAAGGACGTCATTTGAAAGGAACTGGTGGCGCGAAGTGCAATAAAGTAGTCTACAACCTATAAGTACTTTAGTCCTCCTAGTGTATCTGAGTTACCATAAGTATCCTATAGTCACTACCTATCTATACCTTCCTCAGTGGTGTCTAACTGACCCACTTTTACGTCATTTTGTTTCTGGGACAAAAATATAAAAAAGGGCCATTCAAGTGAGCTCTGGTCGAGACTTGACCTTGGATTACCTACACGGTACCCGACAGGAGGCCCGTCGCGCTTCGAGAAGGCAGAGACGCAGACGGGTCAGCGGACGAGTCGCAGCGCGTACTGCAGTGATTTCGCGTCAAGTTAAATAGAATGTACTATAGTACGTCCACATCACACAGCACGCGCTGCGACTCGTCCGCACCCGTCTGCGTCTCTGCCTTCTCGTCACGCGACGGGCCTCCTGTCGCATACCCACCGTACGCAGCTCCGCCCAGTTCGGATCAACATCGCTTAAGAACTATTTGAATATGAATAATGTGGTGCCAGAACTATTTCAAATTTGAGGGCCCATCGATTCTCACACTTGTTCGCTCCCGATTGGGCGAGCCTCATCGAGAAGTATTCATTTATGCTCTCAACTGAGTAATCTTCGGTACCCTGGCTTTGTTAATACTTAATACCTTCTACCCAATAAAGTAATTGGCTTCGTCAAGGAATTAATCGCAGAAATTGCAGATTGAACACTATCAACATAGAGCATAATAAAGCCTTAATAGCATCATAAATACTCCCCATTTTATGAAAGAAAACTTGGAACTCACCTATATTTACATTTCCGGTTGACAAGTAGCCCGTAATCAGGTTTGCCTAGATAGTGTCCTTTCTGGCTGTCAACTGAACTCGTCCAAAACTGTGTCCATACACGTGCGCATCCGATTTGATAAACGTCAGTACTGATCGGATTGTCATGTCATTGCGTGAATCGTCCTGAAAGCACTCAATCAAAATCCATTCGGCTTCACCGCTACAGTTAGCCCGGG